CAGCCCCACCTACCTCCCAGGGTGTCTGTTGTGGGGAGGGGAAGGGAGAGGAGTTTGTAAGCCGCTCTGAGACTCCGAGTAAAGAGCAGCGTATAAATCCAATCTCCTCCTCCTCCTCCTCCTCCTCCTGGAGGAAGTTCTGTTGTTGGAGCCACCGCCACTTCCTGCAGCAGTGAATCCCATGTGTTAATTGCCCTTAATTATCAAATACCTATAAGTTCCCACTAACTCACCCCATCATCATGTTATTAATAAACATTTTTATAGCATGTCTCCAGGGTTAAACATGTTCCAAACAGCCTTGTGAGGTAGACCAACACGTGGGTGAGAATGCTTCATTCCCTCTTAATCCATTTCTTCTTCAGTCTCCGAGTCACGAGCAGCACGCACAGAAGGGCTCTTTTCGAAATCCCCCCAAAAGCCTGACTATGAAAACAGAAAACCAACTTCAGGTTTCTCTGCCTCTGTTTTTAGCATCATCAGCGAGTCTCTGCGGGATCAACTCCTGGTCACCATTCAGAAGACCTTCAACTACAACCGGAACCAGGCCCACCAGCTCTTCGTCGTCCTTATGGAGTGCATGAGGAAAAAGGAGCTCGTAAGTTTCTTTTGCTCCGTATTGGCGGAAGTGAGAGTCTTCCAGAGGGCAGCCGCATTGGACTGCAGGAGAAGAGACGGGTTCGAGTCCAGCAGTACCTTAAGAGACCAAGAAGGTCGCCGGGGCATTAATTTTCGAGAGTCAAAACTCCCTTGGCTCTTCTTCTTCTTCTTTTTTGTGGGTATTTTGTGTGTGTTTGTGTGTGTGTTTGCCTGTGCACTTGCATGCCTGGAGGTCATGGCGACTTCTGGCAACCTCTGCTGGGGGCCTGGACGTTTTCCAGAGAGGTGGCTCGATGGCCTGCCTCTGCCTCCCGGCCCTGGACTTCCTTGGACGTCTCCCATCCAAATACTTTTCCAGGGTCGGCCCTGCTTAGCCTCTGAGATCTGACGAGATTGACTAATTGATTGAATTTCCACCCCGCCCTCCCGGCCGAGGCCGGCTCAGGGCGGCTTACAAACAGCATAAAATTGCGGTAAAATTACAATAAAATACAGTGGCGACGTATTGATAAAAAGACAATTCTCTGACTAGTCATATTAAAACATATTAAAGTGCTGGTATCAGTATCAAATAATTCACAGTGGCTGTTATGACACGGGTTCTTTATTTGCAGTCGGCTCTTGCTCTTTTAGATCAACGTGTTTAGGTCGGGCTAGACTGGGCAATCCAGGTCAAGGCAAGAGATGAACAGAGGTGGTTTGCCCTCGCCTGCCTCTGCATAGCAACCCTGGACTTCCTTGGTGGTCTCCCATCCAAGTGCTAACCAGGGCCGACCAGAGCCGTAGCCTACTGTGGGGCCCATAGGGCCAGGACCCCCCCCCGTTTTTTTATGGGCCCCTTTCCAAGACACACACCCCTTGTGGTCCACCTGCCCCCCCCACCTCTGCCCAGCCGCAAGGCCAACAGTCCCGTTTCGTGCCATCACAGGCTGCTGCCGGAGGCTGGCCAAAGGCGGTAGGCCGCAGCGCTCCTCTTGGGCGCCCCCAGCTCTGCAGCTGCAGCACGGAGGCCGGCGGGGGGGAGTGAGCTTCTGCGGAGCCCCGAGAAGAGAGCTCAGCCCCTCCCCGTCTCTCCAAAAGGGGACCCTTGTGCGTGCGGCCAGGCAAAACCCAGGTGAGGCTTGCCTCTGGACTCCTGGGACGCAGACGTGCGCTGGGAGTTGCCGGCGGGTAGTCTCAGGCGCCCCGGGGGGGGTGGAGACCCGATTTAGACCGAGACCGTGGGGCACCAGGAGAGAGGAGGTTTTCCGGTTGTCCAGCTGGAGCCGTTTGAGGGCCTGGGGATGCCCCAGAGCCATGACGCGGAGACCAGCGTGGGCAAAGCCACCTCTGGACATGTCTGGCCTGGGAAACCCCACCAGGGGGTCGGCCTAAGGCAGCTGTGACTGGACGGCACTTCCCGCCACCAAAGGACCCTCCCCTGCCTGCTTCTCCTTCTCGCCTGGAGACCCTCATTTGCAGCCGGGGCTGCCTTAGGGATCCCACCAATTAAATCAAAGTTGATTTAATTAACTGGTGGGTGGCCCCTCCCCCGGCCCCCTCCCCCCAAACCCCTTAGCTACGGGGCTTTGGCCAACCCTGCTTAGCTTCCGAGATCTGATGAGACCAGGCTCGCCTGGGCGATCCAGATCAAGGCAAGAGATAAACAGAGTTGGTTTGCCACTGCCTGCCTCTGCGTAGCAGCCCTGGGCTTCCTTGGTGGTCTCCCATCCAAATACTGACCAGGGCCGACCCTGCTTAGCTTCTGAGATCTGACGATATCGGGCTCGCCTGGGCGATCCAAGTCAGGGCTCGATCTCCCTTGACTCCTGAAAGCTCATACCCCGAAAATACGTTTTACATTTTTTATTGAGTTTATTGCAACATATATGCAAAACGAGACCACGTTAGTATCGTACCGCCTTGCGATAAGTAAGATATTGAGCATATAAGATGCATAGGATGTCATACAAAAATATTCTCTATTGTGTTGCATTAGAGAAGTGGATCCTAACGCCGGATCTAAGCCAACCAACTACCGTGGCATACGACCTTTTTAATGTCAGATATTAAGCGAGTTCGTATGAACCGATTTTTTAGGAACCACATTGTGAGAAGCCCAATAACCTAATACAGGAAACCCCGGAAATCTTGTTGGTCTCTAAGGCGTTCCTCCTGAATTCGAATCTAGAACTAAGAGGGTCATTGGCAGCAGGTTTGCATAAGATTAGATCTCTACCCACCAGTGTTCCCTCTAAGCTGAGTTAGTGTGAACCAGCTCTCAGTTTTTTAGCCTCCGGCTTACACATTTTTGTCTTAGCTCAGGAAGGCGGGCTCCAGAGCAAACTAATTTCTGCAGTAGTCAAATGGCTCACTCACAGCTTTAATGCCAGCAGGGCCAGCTCACACTAGGCGAACTAGGCGATCGCCTAGAGTGGGCCGGCCCTTAGAGGCGCCAATCTGCACCCGGCCCCGTACTCTGTGAGTTTCTTGATTATTTGTGTTTTTCATTCTTCCTAAAATGCATTTATTTTTTTAAAACTGGGGGGCGCACGGGGGTGGGGGGCGCCAGAAGGGATCCTCGCCTACGGTGCAAAATAAGCTGGGGCCAGCCCTGAATGCCAGTAGCTCCTTGTCTCCTTGCTGGACTGTTGGCTTATGGAGCACGTGGCGACAAGGAATTCATCTCTCACATGAATCAAGATTCGTTCGGCTCTGCGGCGGTGTTACTCAGCATCGGAGGGCTTTGCCTGCCATTCCGAGTGGGAAATCCTTGCTTTTGACATCATCGGTCCCACGGTCCCACCTCGTAGCCATCTGGCACAGCCCAGAATCCCCTTGGCTTATATAATCGACCCCTGCTTTCTCTACAGACGGGTACCATTTGGGGGGTGCCTCCTTTTTCCACTAAGTCGGTAAGGAAAGCAGATGACGGAATGTACTTCTTCTTCTTCTTCTTCTTTTTTAAGCACAAGCAAAATTGCGGTGTTGTTATTGCCATTATTTTAAAATGGGTGCCTCGGAGCCAAGAGAGCAACTTGATCAGATTAAACCGCTAATCCGAATGTTCCCGTTTGGGGATTGACGGGTGCCAACGCACCATCCAGGAATCCCGTTCGTGCTGCGTTCCCTGCCAAGTCAAACAGGACTGCTCGTGCCCTGCAGATCTCTCTGTGTGCTACGGTAGCCTAGTAGGTTTTTGGTCCTTGTTATTTATTATTATTTAAAACGTTGCCCTGACCTGGATAGCCCAGGCAAGCCGGATCCCGTCAGATCTCAGAAGCTAAGCAGGGTCGGCCCTGGCTAGTATTCAGATCGGCCACCTCCAAGGAATACCAGGGTCATAACGCAGAGGCAGGCAATGGCAAAAGCACCTCTGAAAAGTCTCTTGCCTTAAAAGTAAATCTAGCTCGGCACCTAGTGGCACATCATGCTAAAGAGCTAGAACTTCCATCTGCCAGACAATCTTAGGATCTCCTGGCTATTCTACACACAACGCCATGCGATAATTAATTAATTTACAATCTTTTAATGCCATCTTTCCACATGCCTAGGGTTCCCAAGGTGGCAGACATGAAAACATAAGGAACATAGAGCTGGAAGGGGTCATCTATGCAGGGAATTTACAGCTACCTCCCCAGCCCTCTCCCAATAACCCCTGCTGTATGCCCAGAGGAAGGCAAAAAATCTCCAGGATCCCTGGGCCAATGTGGCCTGAAGGAAAATCCCTTCCTGAACCCAGAATGGCGATCAGCATTTCTCTGGGCATATAAGAAAAGACCACGAGAGAAGAAGAAGAAAAGGGATTGGATTGGATTTATACCCCTGCCCTTCACCCAGAGTCTCAGAGCGGCTTACAAACTCCTCTCCCTTCCCCTCCCCACAACAGACACCCTGTGAGGTAGGTGGGGCTGAGAGAGCTCTTCTGAGAAATGCTCATGAGAGAACAGCTCTGACAGAACTATGGCTTGCCCAAGGTCATCCAGCAGCTGCGAGTGGAGGAGTGGGGAATCGAACCCAGTTCTTCCCAGAGTAGAGTCCGCATACTTAGCCACTACACCAAGCTGGCTCTCTTCCTGCCCTCCCTCTCACAATCATTCATTTGAACATTAAAAACAGCAATTAAAATTATAACATAATTCAGTGAAAACACATAAACATATAACACCAAAACCACAGAGGAGGGCAGGAACCATTACTGGGGGTAAGCCTCCGAAGGTGACTGGAATGAGTGGCAGGTTCCATCAACAGAGCTAATAGTCCTCTGGTAGAAAATTCCACATTTTAATCACTCTCGGTGTAAAGTAGTATTTCCTTTTGTCTGTCCTGAACCTACTGCCCGTCAGCTGCACTGGATGCCCCTCGAGTTCTAGTCTTTTGTGAGGAGGAAATTTTTTCCTTTGTCAGCGCTCTCCACCTCATGCATAATTTTAGAAACTTCTATCACGTTCCCCCCTTAGTCGTCTCTCTTCTAAACCGAAAAGCCCCAGTCTCTTCAGCCTTTCCTCCAAGGGAAGGGGCTCCAGCCCCCTCATCGGGGCTACTTTTGGGCAGGATCGCACAGGAACGGAGTTCCGGCTGGCTCCCGAGTTGGCCACGCCCAGCAGGCACTCATTAGCATAATAGGCCACACCCAACAGCAGTCATTAGGGTTGGCTACATTCGGGGTGTGTGGCCTAACATGCAAAGGAGTTCCTGCTACAAAAAAAGCCCTGGGTTTTGACAACAAACAAGGTAAACAGAATAAGAAGCAAAAGGTGGGTGTGGCTAGGTGAGCACACTTCTGGTAACATGGGGGTGTGGCCTAATATGCCAATGAGCTGTGCTGTCAGGGGTGTGGCCTAATATGCTAATTTGTTTCTGCTGTTGGGTGTGGCCTATTATGCTAATGAGTTCCTGCTGGGCTTTTTCTACAAAAAAAGCCCTGCCCTCATCATCTTCGTCACCCTCCTCTGTACATTTCCCGGCTCTGCAAACGTCTTTCTTGAAGATACGGTGACCAGAACCATGCACAATACTCCAAATGAGGCCGCACCATAGGTCCATCCAGGGGTGTTACCAGATCGGCCGTTGAATTCCCAATCCCTTTCCCAATAATCCCTAACACTGAGTTTGCCTTTTTCGCCGCTGCAGCACGCGGGGTGGACCCGTCTCCGTCAGGAAGGGCGGAAAAGTCTCTCTGTGTTCCTGTCCCTTCTCACCCCCTTTATTTCCCCCCGTTCTCCAGATCACCGTGTTCCGCATGGGTTCTGAGGGGCAGCAGGATATTGAGATGTCCATCCTGACAGCGCTGCTGAAAGGTGAGTTGGCTCCGAGCACAGATCCGGGAAACGCGGGGAGCCGTGGCGCTCATCACCGCGAAAGTACGTGGCCGATGTCGAGGCAGCCCAGAGCTCAAACGATAAAACAAAACCGAGCCGGGCAACAAAAAACGAGTCAGTGAAACAAACGGTCTGATGAAAACAAGCCAAGCCGGTAGAATGAATGAGTAAAAAGCAAGTCAGTTGAAAACTTGCCAGTAGGGGTCAACCAAGCCTTGCTTGCGTCCTGTCCGAAGTCGTTTTTTTGGGGGGGCCAAGCCACTGGCATATCCCATGTGGGACTCACCCGTCCTTCCCATCATCAGAATGGGAGGTTTTTAAAACTTGTGATTAGAAATGAACATAGAAATTTAAAGTGGGAAGGTGCCCCTAAGGTCATCTAGTCCAATCCTGCGCAACGCAAGAAATTCACAGCTACCTGCCCCCCACTCCCCCCTTGTGACCCCTGCTCTGTGCCCAGAGGCATTTCTCCCCAATGAGGGCTTTCATCATTCTCCTCTCCTCCGTTTTACCGTCACAACAACCCTATAAGGTAGGTTAGAATCATAGAATCATAAAATCATAGAATGTTAGAGTTGGAAGGGGGAGTGGGGGGCTCCGTTTTACCGTCACAACAACCCTATAAGGTCATCTAGTCCAACCCCCTGCACTCTGCAGGAGCATAGCCGAAAGATAGCCCTACAACATACCCGAAAGATGGTCGTCCAGCTAGGTTAGGCTGAGTGTGACTGTCCCAAGCTCACCCAGCGAGCTTCCATGGCACGAGTTGGGATTCGAACCTGGGGCCTCCAGACACACTAGTCTGATGCTGTTAGCCACTACATCACACTGATTCTCTAGTTACTTATTTAATTCATTTACACCCTGCCTTTCCCTCCAATGGGAACCCAAAGCAACTTACCTCATTCGCCCCTCCTCCATCGTATCCTCACACAACAGTCCTGTGAGGTAGGTGAGGCTGAGAGAGTGTGGCTGGCCCAAGGTCACCCAGCAAGCTTCCATGGTACGAGCGGGGATTCGAACCCGGGTCTCCCAGATACTAGTCCCGTACTCTTAACCGCTGCACCACGCAGTTCTGCGCAGTTGTGTCGTTTCATGGGTGGGGGGAGTTGCCCGCCCTCCCTCGGAAGTAACCACTGCTGGCTTGTTGGGCTTCAGGCACCAACGCCTCTGCGCCGGATCAGCTGAGCTTGGCGCTGGCCTGGAACCGCGTGGACATCGCGCGTAGTCAGATCTTTGTCTTCGGGCACCAGTGGCCGGTAAGGTGTTTTTTTCCCCCTGGAGGGGGGGTGCTTTGGGATGTTGTGAGGACCTGTGGCCTCGATCGCAAGGTCTGACGGTGCAAGCCAAGTGGCTGCAGCCACTTCCAGGGGGTGATGCAGAGCCAGGGGATCGGGCGGGCCGGGTGGGGCCGGGTGGGGCCGGGTGGGGCGGGAAGGTTCCCTGGAAATCTCCGTTTTGCACCAAGAGCAGACGCCCATTTGATTATGAGAATGTGCCAGAAGGAGCGTATGATGGGTGCAGGTAAAGTGCCGTCAGGTCGCAGCCAGCTTACCAGGTGACCTCTGTAGGGTTTTCAAGGCAACAGACGCTCAGAGGTGGTTTCCCATTTGCATGCCTCTGCGTAGCGACCCAGGGCTTACTTGGTGGTTCTCCCATCCGAGTACTAATCAGGGCTGACCCTGCTTCGCTTCTGAGAACCAATGAGATCAGGCTAGCCTGGGCCATTCAGGTCAGGACGGAAGTCAAACAGAGGTGGTTTGCCGTTTGCATGCCTCTGCGTAGCAACCCCAGATTTCCTTGGTGGCCTCCCATCCAAGTGCTAACCAGGGCCGACCCTGCTTAGCTTCCGAGAGCTGATGAGATTAGACTAGCCTGGGCCATCCAGGTCAAAGCAAGAGATGCTCAGAGGTGGTTTGCCATTTTCATGCCTCTGCGTAGCAACCCCAAACTTCCTCGGTGGTCTCCCATCCAAGTGCTAACCAGGGCCGACCCTGCTTAGCTTCCGAGGTCTGATGAGATCGAGCTAGCCTGGGCCATCCAGGTCAGGGCAAGAGACGCTCAGAGGCGGTTGGCCATTGCCTGCCTCTGCGTAGCAACCCCAAATTTCCTTAGTGGCCTGCCCTCCAAGTACTCACCAGGGCCAACCCTGCTTAGCTTCCAAGATCTGACTAGATCCAGCTAGCCTGGGCCATTCAGGTCAGGGTAGACAGACAGAGGGGGTGTTGCCATGGCCTGCCTCTGCGTAGCAACCCTGGACTTCCTCGGGGGTCTCCCATCCTGACCCCGCTTCGTTTCCCTTTTTGCAAGAGAAAGAGGTATGACTATTGTACGTGTGTGTGTCGATCTGTACGGCACGCATGTCTGTGTATGTCAGAGAGCGAAGGGCAAATAGACGCAGAGAAAGCGTTACGCTCAAGGAATTCTTCCCTGTGCCTTTCAATGGATCTTCGCTTGCATTTGTGCGCCATGAATCAAGCCATTGGGAAGCCTCACCGCCACGGACGGATCCGGCCTGGACAAGGAGAAGAAGTCGCCTGTTCCTCAGGTCAAGGCACCCCGGGGGAAAGGAAAAGGGAAAAAGAAAGGCGGGAAGCAGAAAGAAGAACCGGAGGAGGAGCTGGATCCCAGGAAAATCGAGCTGCTCAACTGGGTGAGGTGCAAAAAGGGGGCTCTGCCCTTCTGCCCTGACGTACCGATCGCTTCCCACCAGGGGTCATTTTGCAGAAAAAGAGGTGCAGGAGCTCATTAGCATAACTCATTAGCATAAATCGTTTGCATATGCCACACCCCCTGACATCACCGGAAGTGTGTCAGAAGGCAACACCCACCGCTCAGGCTCCACTGGACTCTTTTGGATTGCTAGCTATTGGGGCGGGGGGACGTGCAGATCTGTCCTCGCAGAGGAGGGAGAGCTTGTACCTGAATAAAACTTGGTCTTAAAGGTGCCACTGGACTGTTTTGGACCGGGGGCCCGGGGGGGAAGGGCTCTACAGCTTACCTGGCTGCTTCTTGCTCTGACTGAGGGCTGCTGGGAGCAGGGGGTGGGGCTTGTTGCATGTGCCCGCCCCCTGGGCTCTTTACTGCTGGAGCTCCGCTCCTGTGCGCTCCTGTAGGAAATGACCCCTGCTTCCCACAATTAGAAAAGACACCTTTACACCATTATCTGCTGTTTTGACATATTTATCGTTTCACGACTGTTGATTTTATAACCTTAACTTGTTATTTAGTTCGTAGTTTCATAGTTTCATTATTACGGTTTTAAGACCAACCTACAGAGTAAGCATAATATGTGAGGGAGAGGGGGAAAACCAGTCATAGTACACAAAAACTGAAATCTGAATGTAAGGACTTTCAAAATGCGATTCCCTCAATCTAAGAATTTAGGCACAAAACTCAGCGACTGAATGAGTAATCTCTGCATTCTTATCTGATGTTATTTAGTTCTGCGTTTGCATGTTAGACATCATCGTTATGTGTTAATTTGCTGTTCCGCCTCGTCAATGAGTTTGAACCTTACCTTGCATTCCAATGTATTTGTGGAAGTGTGCCCGCACACGAAAGCTCTCCCCTTGAATAAACCTTTGTTGGCCTTAAAGGGGCCACTGGACTCTAAATTTGTTGTATTGATTCGAGACATTTTTTAGCTGCCTTTTTTCCTTACGGAGCAGAAGACGGTTCATAACATAGATAAAATGCATAAAGCAAGGTAGACGAACAAACAAAAGAAACAAAATTTAAAATCACAACTTTCAGACTGCTTTAACTACATGCAGTGTGAATTTTATTTATTTATTTATTTATTATTGCATTTCTATCCCGCCCTCCCCGCGAACGGGCTCAGGGCAGCTCACAAACAGGGGCACTATGTGCCAAGTATAAAACATTAAGAACAGAATAAAACCATAATTAACAATAAGCAAGTGCTCAGTGGTTTTACCCATTCAATCGAATCAAGATGGTGGCCTGTAGATGTTACGACAACAAATCGCTTCAGCGGTACCAATCCATTGCAGTACTGTGGCCAGAGCTTTATAATGGGCCATCCCATGACCCTGTTGTTACCACAAGATAGTTGGTGGCGGTAGTAGTGGTAGTGGCGGCTCCTAATTAAAAGCCTGGCGGAAGAGCTCCGTCTTGCAGGCCCTGCGGAACTGTGAAAGGTCCTGCAGGGCCCTGATCTCCTCTGGGAGCTCATTCCACCAGGTAGGAGCTGCCACTGTCGTCTGCAACGGCCTCCTCGAGTTGAGAGTTGCCGACCTCCAGGTCGCTTTAGGGCGCTTGGCATTTATTTATTTAGTCATTCATTCGATTTATACCCCCCCCCCCACAAGCAGGCTCAGGGCAGCTTACATTAGTCGGTAAAGGATACCATAAAATCCACATAAAAACATTTAAAACAGTCGAATACAATAAAACATAAAGTCATAAAGTGCTAGTGATAGTTTCTTCAATTAATTAAGATGGCGTTCTACGGTATGTAAACACGCAGGCAGTTTCCAGTGCAGTGATCTTCTCAAGTCGCCCGATGGTATGGCTCAATCTCAGAGTCAGGACCAGGTCCACAACCACGGTCGTTGGTGGCGGTGGTAGGGCGGCTCCTTACTTGAAAGCCTGGCGGAAGAGCTCCGTCTTGCAGGCCCTGCGGAACTGTAAAAGATCCCGCAGGGCCCTGATCTCCTCCGGGAGCTCATTCCACCAGGTAGGAGCCGCCACTGAAAAAGTGAAAATGTGAAGAGCGTGCTGCTCCTCTTCGCAGGTGAACTCCTTGGAGCAGGCGATGCTGGACGCTCTGGTCCTGGACCGCGTGGACTTTGTGAAGCTCCTGATCGAGAACGGAGTCAACATGCAAGTTTTCCTCACCATCCCTCGGCTCGAAGAGCTCTACAACACGGTGAGTATTGTGTTCGGTTTTGGGCACCACCATTTAATTAAGAAGGATATAGACGAGCTGAGACGTGTCCAGAGGAGGGCAACGAAGACAGTGAGGGGTCCTGTGAGGACCAAGTCCTGTGAGGAAAGGTTGAAGGAGATGGGTATGCTTGGCCTGGACGAGAACCATCTTCAAGTACCTGAAGGGCTGTCCTATAAAGGATGGCACAGAGTTGTTTTCTGCTGCCCTAGGTCAGACCAGAACCAACGGGTTGGAATTAAATCAGAAGGTTTTTGGCTAAACATAAAGAAGATCTCCCTGACAGAGCGG